GATGAGGGCTGAGGAGTGGCGGGTTCCTCTGGGAAGAGCTCCAGTGCCAATCTCCCTCCTACATCAGATGTTGGGATACCAGCTGATCAGCAATATCAAAAGTCACTTCTTTGGGTTTCTTCCCTGTTTGCCTGATCTACCTGCCAAGTTCCTGTACAGTATTCATACCTGCTCCTCCCAAGACCCTATTCGTCTCAGACCCACAAAACACGCCATGGCAGCTGGGAGAAGGTGTCTTCCAGCCATAACTTCATGGCACTAAATGGAGTCCAATGCTTCTGGCACAACAGGGTTGTGGAAAGAAGGGGACACTGAGAACAGACTTACCTCATCATCCTTCCAGTCTGAGAAATCAATCTTGAAGGAAGGCAGGGAGAATTGCTGGCTTACCCCTCTCTTGTAGTGAACTGTCTCCGACTGCAGAGAGGGATTCTTTGTGCTGTATCTGAAGAAAGGGGGGAAAAAGGAAAACTTGCTGTAACAAATGATTGCTCTCTGCTAGGTTCTCATTCATTCACGCCTGTCCGTCTTTCAGGAATCACAAGTGGCAGCTCTAAGAGGCAGAGCTGGCAGGGGCTGGCAGCCATTCCATGGGGATACAAAAAGGGAAAGGAAAGGTCAAAGCAAGAAGGTGAGCACAGGGAAGGGAAAGCAGTGCAGACAGGCAAGGTCTGATTGGATCCATACTGACCTGCCCGGAAACACTGGGTGTCAGAGGAGTACAGTGTGGTGCGGCAGCCTGGCAAAGGCTAGTTCACTAAATCCAGGGCCTAGGCAACACTGGCTTTCAGCCCAGCACACAGTCTTATTTTCTGCAGGAAACCCAGGAAGAACAAGCAATGATCTAACAGTAGCAACGCACAACCCAACACGGCGCTGAAAGCTCTCCCGTCCGTGGGACAGCTCTGCAGTGACACAGAGCCATTACAATTCACTCCTTATTCCTCACATACTTCCCCAGAGGTGTTGCAGGGCTACCAACACCACCGGAGACACACCAAGCAGTCCTCCATGCCGGCTACATAGAGAAAAGTCACAATTCTTCTGCTGTCTCGAGGCCCAGCACTGAAAGTCCAGCACTGCCAGGCTGGGATGAACATCTCTGGAATGGGACCATAGCTACAATCCATCATCTTCTGCACCCAGAGCCCACCCCGCGCAGTCTGCCCCAAGACAGACGTTTCACTGCCTGCTGACCATCACTACGGACGGTGTGATTCACAGCAGGCTTCGGTGGTGAAACAGGATCAAGAAGTTTTCACCCCTTTCTGGAGGGTGATTTCTGAGCTGGATGTGCACAGCCTCTCGTGATGCCAATTCTGGCACAGGAGAGGAGGCAGCGGACTGCAAACCAGGGTGGGAACATCTGAAGCTGGCTTTACCTATCGACCGTGTGTTCAGTACGTGTTGACGAACCAGAGAGAAAGTGAGAGATCCCTTGTCCAAGAGGTTTACGCTGCAGAAACCACCTCCTCCCCTGGCACAATGACGAGACAGGTCTAGCTCCAGCTTTACAAGAAAAACTTTAACAGCCGGTCACAGTAATGGGATGTTACCTCTTCTGCACACTAACCATCACTTCCTAAGCAGAGCTTCACAAGGTGAGACTGGGAGAGCGCTAGCCTCCAGCTACTGCACAGGGAACAGCTACAAGCCTGAAGCCTTGCTGACTGTTCAAACTTGATTGCCACTGTTCTTGATCAACCAGACACCCCGGGGACAGGCATCACATCAGCACCAGGAACTCTAGGCTGAATTTTTCCTTAATTCAGCATGGGTTATCACACAGGATTCCCCTGACAACCAGCTCCTCAGATTTTGCTGATTCCATTTCTGAAAGAATAACACAGGCGGTACTACTGCGAGTCCTGCAAAGGAGACCACACCAGAGGAGATCAAGGCATTTGACGTGACCAATTCAGTACAGAGCCCTGTCAAGCACAGCAGTTAACAAACCATGCACAGAGGCAAAGAAAAGAGAATCCTTGCTTGAAAAACAGGATTCTGTACTTTTGAGGACATTCAGCTGCTCTGAAACACAGACACAGCTTACAAACCACGAGGTACATAAGCAAAGGTTGGAAAGCTCCAAGCTCCTTCAGCCTAACTACACTTTATGGAGGATCACGGCACACCAGGAAGAGATGGCAATACAAAGCTTTTTTACATCCGAAGTAATGCCTTCTGGTTTCTGTAAGCAAGGAGCCAGAGGGCTGGGCAGCTCACTTCCAGCGGGGGTGAAGTAAAAAACGTGGGAAAAGCCCATGGGGCAGAATCAGCCAAGAACTGCAGAACTGAGCGTCACACCAAAGATGCAAAGACCGGGCTGGAGAATGGTAGAGAGGACATGCCTGAATCTTAAAACTCAGCTTTAAGAGATGCTGTGAAAACTTTACATCCAAGAGCCAGAGAGCAAGAGCCCACAGAGACAGCGGGCTGCCCTCCAGGGCTCAGGCCAGCCAGCACTAACACAGAGCCTTAAAGCACAATCATTACAATGCCTTTTGCAGCTGAAGGTGTAAGAATCTGGATACCAGATGATGATGAATATTTATTAATTCCTCTGAAACCCAAGGAAGAAAAACCAGGCTCCCCACCAGCATGAACTGCTGCCTTTCTCTGGAGAGACAGTGTACTTCCTGCACCCTCTGAGGATCCAGAAGGCTTATCAAGTGTCACACAATCCACGTTAAATTCTGGAAGGCTGTGACGAAGGCCAGGTTCACCATGTGCACTCCACTCTTCCTGCCAAGGCAGGTGTATTATCTTATTTTTGACAATACTTTACCTTCAAAAACCATTCTGTACTGCGCTGAAGTTGTGCTGCTTTACTAGAAGGTCTCGCTCCATCCCTTGCATTTAAAGCATGGTGTGGGAGAGATCAGAGTGACAGGTCTTTTATGTGTGAATTACAGAGCAAGCAATTGAGTGAAGTTTTATTTACTGAGTTGTCAAGCACAATGAATAGAGGAAGCCTGTATCTAGCTCCTTTTGTGGCACTCTCAAAGCTTCCCAGCTCTGCAGAGAGGCACTATTCTCCCTCTACAGCTGGGAATGCAGGGGATGGAAGAGTGACTTATCTAAGGTGACAGCAAGTCAGGAACCTACTAGAAATAAAGTGCAGAGGAGACAGTGGAGGTCAGAGACTGCCTGGATGACATGCACCACAACAGCGCTGGGAAAGGGGTGTAAACATGCTGATGGTGAGTGCCAGGAAGGCCAGAGGACCTGCACTTACAGCACTGGAAGCCCAAACCAGTCTACACCAGGAAAACAAGTAACGTTGTTCCAAAGAGGATGGGGTAGAACAATATTCGCATAGATTTGCTGCTCTCACTGCCCCTGAGAAAACAAATAAACCAGGTACATGGATTTTTCTGAGCTGAAGAGTATGACAAAAGTATCAAGGAGGATACCAAGTGAACCAAGTAAGCTTTGTGCTTTGGACTGCGTGACTGCCTAGCCCCCGTTGCCAAAACGAGCTCAGACCTGGATGTGAACACCCAGACTGACTGCTGGAGACCCCCAGTCAGCAGGCAAGGCTGCCGAGCAGGCCAAGAGCCTGGTGAATACCCCGGAAGCACCGGTGATCCCAGATTGTCACAGAGATCGATTGTGTTTCTGAAGTGATGCACAGGATCCACTGCACAAGTACACACTCCTCGTGCCGCACAGGAGGACAACCTGGCAAGCTGTTACAAAGCAAATATCCTACATATTAGTGTCTAAATGGTCTCTACCCATCCCCAGCTCTTTTTTGTTGGCACCTGCTGTATTCACAAGTCTTCCGTCCCCTGCCTATGCTGCTGTGTGCTTACAGCAAACAATAGCGGACAAGCTCTGTAGAGCCACAGAGATGCATTACAGAAAAAGAGAGCACGTATTAAGAATAAAAGATAGCAGAGAAGCAACACACCACCTCTCCCTGCACAAAGGCTGAAAGCTGAACATTTGGGCTGCGATTTTCAGACTGGACCAGGCCAGCTCTCCATCCAGATGGGAGATTTAACAAAACCACCTTGCAATCACTGGCAGCTCAGGATGACGGAGAAGTGGAGTCTGTCCTGTTAGGTCAGGAGCAAACAGAAATCCCCGGTCACATTTTTTTAAACCTGTTTGCTTGCTCAGGTATCCCTGACAGCGTGAGAATCACCAGCAACGTGAGGTACCTCACTGCTGACTGCAGCAGCAGCTCCCAGCTCTGTCCTCAGAACCCTCAGGATTCATGCAGCCTATCTCCTCCTGTAAGCCATACCTTTACTCGCACAAAGCCAAGCTTACACCCCACACCGACTCCTTCCTCCCCCATGCCAAACCCTTCCACTCCCCAAAACCAGCTGTGTATCGGAGAACTGGCAGATGAGGAGCCTCGTGACTACATCACAGTGATTTCTGAGAGAACAGGAAACAAACTAAAATTATTCCCCAGTCTCACTCATCCACCATCAGCTGAGAAACACTTGCTGCCTGCACAGAGAAACTAGCCTGGGGCTCATGCGTGCTTCTCCCTGTATGCAGTCCAGACTTGCTACCAGGCACTTCCAGACCTTAAGTAGTTCCCAAGCCACGAGTGGCACACTAGTGTTTGGGAACCTCTGCTAAGCAGGGTTAAACTTCTGTTGCTACATACTCACTGGAGACGCAATACGAACATGTGGGGGTGTTTCCCCCTCCTGCTCATCCCTGATCAGAGCCTGGGGAGATTTTCAGCAAGGCACCAGTCCCAACTTGTGCAGACTTCTTTACTGCTGTGTTCCTCATGCTCATCTCTGCCTGGCACTGGGCTGCCTTGGGCAGTCAAAACACGGTTCCCGTTATCACAAGCACGCTGGGACCCCCGACTGAGAAGAACCAAGTGGGGGATCCTAGCTAGCTTGCCTCAGAGTTATGCACAGCACTGTCCAGACCCTATTCCTCAGAGAAAAGCAGAAGAAAAGGAGGATGCACATAGCAGTGTTGCCCCAAGGTACTGTTTTTGACTGAGACAGCCTGCGCTTTGAAGAGCCTGCGGACAAAATAAGAGTCCTCTTCCTGTAGTAACAGCTACACATGTTGTATGACAATTTGCAGTGAACCGAGGACACAAGGCAGAATTACTGAAGGCAGAGTTACACACAAGTTTTAGAGGGTACTGGGGAACCAATTCTGCTGCTGCTGCTGCAGGCTGCAACTGCCTGGCAGGCTCCATGTCCTCTTACAGGTGATGAGGAGGGAGCCAGCCCTGTTCTGCTGGTGTTCAAAGGGGCCAGGAGTTGATGTGGAACAAGCACACTGGCTCCCCTCTCTTCTACCCACATGCTCCTCTTTCAATTCGGGCCAGGATCTCACAGGTCAGCTTTTGGGGAAGAGAAGAGTTGAACAAGTGTCTCAAATAACTCCAAGTGATTTTTTTTTTTTTTTAAATTGGTAAAAGAAACACTACCAAATTATAAGAAGGCTGTAGCC